GTGGGGGTTTTTTTTTTTTTTTTTTTTTTAATATTTATGTATTGATAAGCTTAATTTATAGTCTTTATGGATAAAATATTTAACATAAATAATAATTATCATAAGATAATTTTCAAAAATCATTACTTCTTTTAACATGGTTATCCCAGTCATATTTTTTTTCATTTCGTCAAATCAACAGGATTGAATGCATTCGACACGTTGTTCAGGAACAATTTGCAATCGTTGAAAGTCGGCTTGAAAGATTGCTTTTACAACCAGACCAGTGATAATGGTGGATGACTGTGAATGTCCTTATCAAAATAATTCTGGTATTGAAATCTGAAAAATCTCCAAAAACTACTTTGCCAGTTAAAATATTCCATTACAATAACCTCAGTAGTGCTGTAAAATAAGGGGTTAGTGCATATGTGTGTATAACTAACTGACATCAACCATTCTTCATCATCTTTACCAACAGGGTTCGCGATTGACTGATACAAGGCTTAAACTATCATGGGCGAATAAGTTTAGTCTAAACATATTCCTCCATGCCTAAACAATCTATCATGGAGCTATAGTATGAATTATAGGTCCATGTTATTTTGATACTAAGTACGTTACCATCAGTTGTTGTCACACTAGACGTCGTATGATGACTAGAATGCACAATGCAAAGAGTGGTGTGCCCTCTGAAAGATGTAGGACTGTCTGAAAGTTAAACGTGGACAAATCTTATATTGTTGTTTTTGTTATTTTGGTTTTAAGTACAATTGCACATTAAAGAAAAGAAAATACCTCAAAAGTTTAATTAAAATGTGAATAGGTCATTTACAAGAAACAACTATGTTATTAATATAAAGTCAGAAACAGATGGAAAGAAATAGTGGCATTTTTTCCTAAATGTATTTATAGAAGCATTTATTTATCATAGACCTCAAGCCTAATCGATTCATTATCAATACATAGTTTATAAAACAAATATTTAACAAACTAAGTGGCCACTAGTATAACTTTGATGACTACAGATATTTCAATCAGATAAAAAATATATAAACGACAATTAAAAAAAATATATTTATTACTAATTAAAAAATAAATCTATTGAATATTATTTTTCTTAATGTTTATATAATTCCTTTAAAAAGAAATATAAATGGTAAAGTATTGTTAGATTCTTTTTAGAAAACTAAAATATTTTAGTTTAAAAAAATGCATTGTTTATGTTGATTTATTGATTCAATGTAAGTAGAAACAGATGGAAAGAAATAGTGGCATTTTTTCCTAAATGTATTTATAGAAGCATTTATTTATCATAGACCTCAAGCCTAATCGATTCATTATCAATACATAGTTTATAAAACAAATATTTAACAAACTAAGTGGCCACTAGTATAACTTTGATGACTACAGATATTTCAATCAGATAAAAAATATATAAACGACAATTAAAAAAAATATAAATGGTAAAGTATTGTTAGATTCTTTTTAGAAAACTAAAATATTTTAGTTAAAAAAAATGCATTGTTTATGTTGATTTATTGATTCAATGTAAGTATTTTTGCAACATTTATGTAGTTGAAATATTTTTACTGAATTTTATCACTGAGCCATTTTGACCTATCTCTCATTTGTGCCAATTTTTACTTGAGCCTTTTTGGGGGGCCAATCTATGGGGCCTTTTTACCGTACACCACTTAAGATAATTAGAATTACCTTCAGAAAGTATCATGCATTCATATTCAATGTTCAAGTACTTGTAGGTACCCTCACAAGGGTCACCATAATTGTCATTTGAAGCCGTTATAGTACATCTGTTTTTACCATCACACTTCCCAGAGATGTCCTGAAACACGTCGATCGAGCAATTTGTGTAACCTGTTGATGTGTGATCGCAGTAAACCACACCAAGGTGCATTCGGCAATAGACTGCAGTAAGTACTCGTATCGTGTACATAGAGTCACACGTCAAATTATCTGTATCGTGCTCAAAAATTATTTTCATAATGGCGGTTGAATCTGAAATCAAGTGATGGTGGATGTAAGTGTCAGAACATAATTGTTGATACCGCTTTAAATACATGCGCTACCTTTGTCTCATAAATACTTTAGCCAAATTTTAGGCAAAGTTAAAGAGCTTTTCAAAATAGATCTGTTTGTCAACACAGAGCACTGTTCATCTAATCAGTGACCTATTGTACATGGCCTATATGGTCTTTGTACTTTTTCCTATAACCACAAACAAATCCCAACAAATTTAAGAAAATCGAACATATGTGTTTACTTGTTTCTAATAAACATTGTGATTTAAAGTTTAATGTTTTTACCTAAACATCTTGTACCGTTGTAGCCAGTGTAGCATGTTGCGTTCTCATTACAGCCTCTGGAATGGTCGCACTGAGCAGCGTCACAATGACAAATTTGCAGACAGTCAGCGCCATACTTGCCTGCTTCACATTCTATAATATATAAAAACAACAACATATTGGTCAAACCAACACAATCTTGACTCTATTTAGGTGACAGTCTTTTTTAAAATCATATTAAAACAACTACAATGGACTAAGAAAAACAACATTTTATTTCACATCTTTTAAACCAAACATTTAACATAAAATCATTGTTTTCTTGATACTTATTATGGATATTGGTGATACTTGCTGATGTGCATTCTTTTCAATTTTTACCCTCATTCATGGGATTGTTTTATCTTTTTTTTCTGTGTACTTTCATAGACGATTGAAATTCATACCGTAAGCTGCACCCTGATTTCTTAGTCATTACTCTATTCATGCCATAGCACTTAAATCATTAAAAAATTTACAGCTGTATTTGCATTGCAAATTATTGATTACATTAAGCTTAATTTTATTAAATAAATATGTAATCTCATCTATGCCACTGTAGTATGCGTGCCAAAACCCCTAATTAGGAATACAGTTTTACGTTTTTAGTTAGTGTTCTCTAAATATAGGTAGGGCCTATCCTTATTTGGGGACACCACTTTTAAATGAACAGGTTTTTTTTTGGTTTCAATGGTGTCCCCTTTCCCTACTTTAATAATGATGATAGAGTAGTTGTAAAAATGGTAATAATAATAATAATAATAATAATAATAATAATAATAACAATAATAATAATAATAATAATAATAATAATAATTATTATTATTATTATTATTATTATTATTGATATTATTATTATTATTATTATTATTTTTATTATTATTATTATTATTATTGATATTGTTAT